CGTTATTGTGTTCAATTGTGACGGCAGTCAAGGGTATTGTGACGTGCCTGAGTTGACGCTGCGTTAAAACGTATGCGCAGATCAAGTAGATCGGGCCTCGTTAAACTCGATACAGATTCACAGAAAATTCGGATGTCTTAACCTTCACGCATTCAAATTCTTTATCATTTAAGTTCCGTTTTTGCTTTAATATTTAAAGTAAAATAAGAAGATCATATACTGTGAAATCAAAAATTTTCCATTACATTATATTTACTTCTTGTTGTTTTCGAGGTATGAAGTCACACACGAAATCATATCCTCCAAGAAATGTCCAAATTAAAAGTACTGAATCACGTACTAGTATATCTTATGGTCTCGCCAAAACCCGATGGTCTGCGCCAAACCCCGATGGTTTGTTGTCATTACGGACGCTAAAGTCCAATGGTCACGCCAAAGTCCAGATGGCTCGTTTCCTATTAGACGTGCTGACGCTAAAGTGCGATGGTCTGACACGCCAAAGTCCGATGGTGCGGAGAAAAATCAACGTTTATGACGTCACAATAATCCGACGTCAATCCTTGACGCCGTTGTCTCTCCTGCATTCAAAAGGCATCATTTCTGAATTCGTCTTCGAAGACAATTTTATTGATTTTGCCTATTACTTGCATTTTCCAAAAAAGGCTTGCAAAATAATTTGATACTTCAGCAATCAAAATACAGTTTGATAGAGGTCTGTAGCAACGGTTTTTGATGTGAGGGAGGGGGGTTCCGAAAAAAAATTTGTGTAATACAGAGCTGTGCTTCACATGTACCATCAGATCTACTTTTTCATTATAGATTTTTTCCGTATAAATCCAGAACAGGTGTCAAGTACCAGCTATTATGGGTTACATTTATCAAAATAGCCCGAGTTTTTAAGGACAGATGTTACAAACAAACTTTTGTCAGAAATTTTAAAAATAACGACTTGGGTCGTGTTTTAATGAATAAATTCAATAAGTTTCACCTCGTAGTTTTAATTGTTTTAATTTAAAGTTGCAGAAAATAGAATTTGTAGTGAAAAATATTTGTATAGAATGATAAGAATTGTTTCAGAAGGATAGAATTTTGAACGTCACAGAAGGTTTACAATATTTTTATATTCTAGAAATTTATTATTTGCATCATTTGCAATGAAATTAGATCAAAAATATACACCAATCCAGACATCCATTTTTTGTTTGTATCACCTGTCCTTAAACAGGTCGGAGAGAATACTCGAAATCGGGTATTATCCGTGAAATCGCGTATAATACTCGATGTTAGGGTATCGTTGAATCCGCGAAATCGGGTATAGGAGGTGTAATCACATAATAAAACTTAAACAATGGGATGGCGCATGTTGCCGAGTTAACTTTCATCTAGATACACATGTTTTCTAAAGGTATCACTAGCCAAGTAAGAATTTGGGCGTCAAGATTAATGCGCTCGGTACAACAAATACCCGTGGAGCTCAGTACATTTCATGATCTGCACACAAAAAGGCGTTCGATTTGCTTTATATTTTTCCTTATGTTGAAAGCATATGCATCTTCGTAATAATCATTCCCAACACAAAAGAATTGTAAAGTATCAGAATTCGGAAATTTATAATAATTCCACATCAACACGACAAACATGCGCAATTTCTAAATAAATCAAATTATACGGAAACACATTTCACACACAAGATATTTGCCATGCATAAACAAGGGACTGTCTATCGTATCTAATTATGCGTCATTAATAATTTTCACATTCATCTTGTGCTTAGATCAAATTTATTTAAGAATGTATAAATAATGTAATGATAAAAATGTCCAAAATTTCGGCTAAAAGAACCCTCTTTCTCTTTTTTTGAAAATCTTTTCTCTTTTTATTTATCATTCATACACATTTGCAGAATATGTCTTCAACATTTTAGCAGAGACAGTGATAGTTTCACGAATTATGAGAGAACATAACTGTTGATCGTTTAATTTCGCTAAGTAATCAATATTTTACCATTTCTTGGCGACTTCAAAGGGGGGGGGGGGGGGCTAAAGGCTTCTTGACCACCTCTGACAAAACAACCTCGACTGTGTTCTACATGTGTCCAAGAGACCTATCTTTGAATGTCACGGTCGGTTAAACTCGGTCATATATTTTTAAATGTAGGGAAGATTTATTCATCAAATAAAAATCATAAACATTGTAGGTAAACAAAAAGCAACCTGTTATTTTCTAACACAATATGAGACTACAAGTAACTAGAATTCATGTTTATTTTTTAAACACACACTTTCATTAATACGTATCATATATGAAATAACTAAAAGAAAACTGTGATTAATTGTCTAGAACCAATCAGATTATTTGTTGTATTAGCATATTATAATGAGGTATAAGATAGCGATATAGAATATCTAATAGATAAAAAAAATATAGAAGGTAAAGAGGTAAAATTTACCCTGTTATCAAATAGTATAATAAAGAAAGGAAGTGGCTACAATTTTTAAGAAATTTTAATGTCCGATGAGGAATTATATTCCCAAAAAATAAGACAAGAGTTTCCAAGGCAATTGAACACTCCATTATCTCAGTTTGTTCATTGACATGTTCATAAACGTAAAAACTGTAAGAAATGTGAAATTTTGACTATGTAATTCATTTTTCAATATGACTGTAACTCGATCTATATTGAGAAATTCAATGTATTATAAGCTCATGAAAAGATGTACACATTTGACTTTTATTTTAATCCCCCCCCCCTACCAAAAAAAAAACAAAAAAGAAAATCCTGTTCATATGACTTCTCGCTCTCAATTTTCACACAAATGCATAAAATAAAGGCAAATTTGCATATCTTGTATCGATTAAAATGCAACCAAAAAATTTACGGTGTCTTTGAATAAAAATTTCACGCTAAATTGATATAAAAAAAGATACTCACCTTCAATTAGCTATTTTCAAACTGTTTTCCCGTATTTATTTATTCTTATTTTATTTTCTTCTTTATAATAACGTTGGTATTCTATTATGGCAGAGATATACAATTATGACTCGCTTATACTGTACTCTCTAACTGTTAGGAATAATTTATATTTCACTTGAAAGGGACGCCATACATTTTTTCAGTAAAAATACATAACACGGCGTTAGTCGTTTAATTTCTTTAAAATTTCACGTTTTGTGAATAGTGCACAAATAAGAAAATTAAGTATATGGAATACTTTAATGGGAACTAAAGACAAACGTAGTGTAGTTATTTGTTTTTAGAAATAATATTGAAAAATAATAACGCCATTGTGTCCTCATTGTTACCCCAGCAGTGTTTGTCGTGTGATTTTAAACTTATTTGACAACCGTATGAATTAGGTTTCATAAAAATAAATCTACAAGATACTGATGTAGAAGTAACAGTTACTGGCATAATGCGCCGTTGCTTTATTCTTTAGTTTTTATAGAAAGATGCACGGAATACCCGATTTCGCGGATTCAACGATACGCTAATATCGAGTATTATACGCGATTTCACGGATAATACCCGATTTCGAGTATTCTCTCCGACCTGTTAAACTGACAAACTAAAGACTTATCGGAGATAAAAATTTAACAAATTTGCTTGAGACTACAATCAGTCATAAGAAGCAGATCATTGTAGGAAAAATGAACAAACCTACATGAATATTCCCTATACCTAGAAATTTTCTTAATTGAATTTCAGTTAGAAAAACATGCATATGGTCCACGTATTGCAGTCCTTTTTTAAAGGACAGCAACTTGTACTTATTTTTAAGACCTTGGTATGACGCGGCATTGAGGTTTGGCAAAGTAAGTAAGTAATCTTTATTTAAAGTCGGCATTTCATACACTGTATAACAAGAAACATGAGCTCTGTAGAGCTCTTAAACCAACTATCACAGCTGAAATATCACAAGAAAACATTAACAGAAATTAACACGCAAAAACATATACACATACATATGGCAGATAAATCAAATTTTTAAGAATTAAACAACATTTAAGAGTTTAGGGCGCTGTAGTACTATGACGTCATAAACTTTAATTGTTTTTTGTGCATCGAGGTTTAGCGCAGACCATCGGACTTTGGCGTGTCCATCGGACTCCAAAATTTTGAACTCATTGCAGATTTTGTCAGCGAGCAGGAGATATTACACAACAAACAATCAATTAACAAATCAATTAATGAGTGATCGATTACTAATGGAGTTTAAATCATTAAAATAAAAAATAAATCTTTTTAAGAATCCTAACACATTTTATTTAATTTGCAGAGCTTTTAAAAAATTGTGGTAGTTGTTGGGAAATTTTACGGAAATACCCGTCTTATGAGGAAAAAGATGGTGTATACAGAATATTCGTAGGCTCTGAAGTAAAGTCTGTTTACTGTGACATGAGTACAGATGGAGGGGGGTGGACGGTGAGTAAAACTTAAGCTTGTTATAAAGTGAGGGAAGAATTTTCTCCGTGTCTTAAGAAAATATTTATTGTTTTAAGATGTTTTCCTCTACGAAATATAGAACCTATATGTGTTTTTCAAATAAAGTCAGCACGTCTTAAATAACTAACGTTATTTAACATTTAAAACGAATTAAAAATCATTTAATCTGTTAAAGGTAATTCAAAGAAGACAGGACAATTCTACAGACTTCTACAGGACGTGGTCAGAATATAAACAGGGATTTGGGGATCCCTCTAAAAACTACTGGATTGGTAAGTTAAGCTTATGTAACATATGAATAAGGTGTCCATCTAAATGAAGTGTCAAAATATAAATTAGGATTTGGGAACCCCAATACAAATTACTGCATTGGTAAGTTTAGTTTATGTAACATTAATATAATAAGGTGTCTATCTAAAATAAACAAGAATATGGGGATCCCTCTACAAACTACTTAATTGATAAGTATTTACATTATAAGGAGCCTATCTAAATACAGTGTTGGGATTTAAATAAGGATTTAAAATTTAAGATACTTTTTAAAATATTTCTAAAGGAAATGACGCAATCTATGAGTTGACAAAGAATAAAGACCAGGAACTCCGGGTTGAGCTACAAAGTTTTGATGGTGATACAGCATATGCTGAGTACTCTACATTCTATGTCGTGGACGAATATAGTAAATACAAACTCACTGTGTCGGGGTTCTCAGGAACTGCAGGTAGGTCTATTTATAAATTTTTGTACATACCTAATTAAATCTAAGGTCACAAGTGATTAACGGATGCTTTTTAATACCATATTTATTTCCAAGAAAGACATGGATGAGCATGAATTTCTATACTATGTATATATATATATATATACATATATTTAAAATGTTTTGTGATATTTTTGGATTTTTACTTTTAAATATACCAAAAACTGTACCGATTCTTCATTTTGTTTTGAAATTATATATACATATATATATATATATATATATATATATATATATATATATATATATATATATTAAAAAAAGTAAAAAGAAAACACAAAAATCCTCAGTTAAGCTTTAGCGCTTTCATTTTTCAATCTTCAGAAGCTTACAATAGTATCATAGTAACAGTGATTATGACGTCATGTTAAGCGGAACGTTAAATGTCTATTATGACGTCATAGATACAATATGACAAAAGTACGGGAAAATCACAAGTAATTTATAAAACACTATTAAGTTTTGGCTGAAAAATACTAATAAAATGTTTTTCTTTTTCCCGTCTCTGGATATCAGTGGCACAACTAAGTTTATAGAAAGGGAAAATTTTGAACTGTTTTTTACCACATGCCTCTAGGTGCGAACTTAATTGAATTTGTCTGTATTCGGGTGTACTAATGTGTTGCTTATGTACACGTACACGGGCACGGAGAGTGTTGCAACACATTAGTACACCCGAATACAGACAAATTCAATTAAGTTCGCACCTAGAGGCGTGTGGTAAAAAACAGTTCAAAATTTTCCCTTTCTATAAACTTAGTTGTGCCACTGATATCCAGAGACGGGAAAAAGAAAAACATTTTATTAGTATTTTTCAGCCAAAACTTAATAGTGTTTTATAAATTACTTGTGATTTTCCCGTACTTTTGTCATATTGTATCTATGACGTCATAATAGACATTTAACGTTCCGCTTAACATGACGTCATAATCACTGTTACTATGATACTATTGTAAGCTTCTGAAGATTGAAAAATGAAAGCGCTAAAGCTTAACTGAGGATTTTTGTGTTTTCTTTTTACTTTTTTTTAATATTGTTATCCGATTACTGAGACATTATTTAAATTTTGGATATATATATATATATATATTACTCCATCATGCTAGAAGTTAACGATACTTTTAAGTTGGCGAGGTATATAAGAAGAGATGGGAAGTTAACCGAGGCTCTTACGTATAGAAGTATACTAGATATATGTCAATGAACTTGAAATTAAAGAAGCCACAATTTCTACAACATCAGTTTCATAGAAGGTTTGTCCCAAAATTCAGTAGACAAACATAATTTTTTAGAAACCCGGTGACAAAAACTAATGAAACTTTTACATAGGTTAAAACAACAACAACAACAACAAAATCTGAATAACTACACAGATAACCCTAATTAAATAAAATATTTATTGTATAAGGCGGAATCAAACCGAAATAAAAGTATTGAAAGTACTGAAATGAGGTGACGTCTTCCAGTAAAATGTGAAATTTACCCCCAAGTATTTGGCGTGTACAAAAATTTTAATCTAGGAAAATCCCCAATGAAAATCATTGGAACGAAAAAAGTGAGCAACACGACATTGTATTTTGTAACTTATTTGATATGTAAAAACTGAACTATGGTTATCCTTAAGTACCCGACACCATAAAAGGAAAATACCTCGCATTTCTCTGCAAATTATATTTTGATTTGTTTCTTGTTACACAGTAGCTGCAGATCTGTAGCTTTCCGAAAAAGAAAAATTCACAGACCAGAGAGCTAGAGTGCCACCCATTGAAAAAACTGTATATTTATTGAGCACAAAGAAGTGTGCTGTTTCTCGATTTATTTCTCCGTATTTTTAAACTGCCATCTCAAAATGTTACTAACCGTGTGTTCCTAAGATATTCTTTCACTGTTTTCACAACAAAACATTCCTTATATTTGTTGTTAATAACCCTACTGGTCCTGAAATTGAGATCATTAAAATATCGTCTATTTATATTGTAATTTTGGTTTGCAAGATAATTCAGTCCAAGGCACTGTGACAACTACAAGAGTACTTCATAGGGGAGTTATTTAAGGAATTTTTAAAAATGTATCTTTTTCGCGTTTTATGTAAGAAGAACTACGAACTCTAACTCTTGATTCCCGCCTACATTTTGCACCCATTAAATTCAATTTTAATGGCAATTTGGCCATTAAATCTTTGTTTAATACAAAGAACAGTTCTATAGTAATTGATTAATCATTTTATTTCCAGTGCTAGATAGTAAATTATCATTAATTCCAGCTGTTGGAAAAAGGGGGGTAGGCGATATTTTCTGGTGAAATCGAACTTTCTAGAATCACCATATTTTGAAATAGTCTTAAATATCATAAAATGTATCTCATATCTTTTCTTATGTCTTTCGCAAATAAATAAAACATAAAAAAATAAATAAAATACAATTATTTAGTTGTAAATAGCTTAAAAATTGGTGAAAAAACAGCAGTTTTTTTCGTTTTTTGTCTATAAACAAATGTCCCCCCCCCGTGAAACACAAAAAGCTTTGGCATAAATTTGTTAAATGACAGTCCATCAGTCCATATTACCTGAAAGAAGGAATTTTTGTTTCCACGGGGGGGGGGGGGGATGTTTTAAAAATATTTTCCGTTTTCCGTTGATTTCTATAGTGAAAAACACAAGTTTAACCAAAATTATAGAGTCATCTCTCTTTGGTACCCAAATAAGTAACGTTTTATGAAAATTCATATAAAAATCTATAAAAATTTCGAAAATCGTTCGAATATGTTAACTTTTGAGAATTGACTTAGAGGTAGGCGGGAGAAAAATACTATCGTTCGTGGTTCTTTGGAAGAATTAATCCAAAACTAAGCACAACTTTTTGAGCGGAATAAATACACAGTTTTTTTTAATTGAATACACTGTACAAAATGTAACTCTCCGGTCTGTCAAACTATTTTTTTGAGAGAGATCTGCAGATCTGCAGCTAGTTACACAGTAATAAGAATGAACATTATATTTAATATCTATATCCATCGGCTTGAAATCTGACCTGTTGAAAATATGGCGGCTATGTTGACACAGGTGGTATACATTAGAGTATGATTAAATAGGTTGTCCCTTTAATTATAACTCCTACAGGAATACATAAGGCTTTATTGTTTGGAACAAATGGAAATGATTTTTTGGTCCTTTAAGGACAGATGATACAAACTTTTTTTTTCTTTGGAGGAGACTTAATATCATATCACAAGTTTAGGAAATGGAGAACTCTTAGAATATTTTCTACTAAAAATGGAAAATGAAACAGACTTGGAAAATTTTAGTACTGTTTCATTAAAATTACAAATATGGGCAAAACACACTCAGTAAAGGTTTACAGATGAAAACGAATTTTAGAATATGTTAACCTGGTGCTTTTAGTGTAATATAATCTTTAGAAAAGTAAACAAAACCAGGTGGATTTTATCAGGAAAAATGGTAAAAATCAGTCTATATGATATTGCTAATTATTTGTCATTTTGATTTTCCTCATAAAATTCATCTGGCTTGGTATATTTTTCTTAAGATTATTTTTCACTTAATGTAATTAAACAGTAATAATGTAATGTATTCAGAATTTTTTTTTCACCTGTAAACCCTTACTGAGTGTGTTTTGTCCATATTGATTTTTTATTGAAATAGTATCATCTCTCCTTAAATGACTGAATTAGTTACCCTTATAATGTGGAGAAAGGAAAGACCGACCTAAAAATCGGAAAAGAGTGAAACTGTTCAGTTATATTAACCCCTTCACTTCCGGCAAACAAAAAGCAGTACATGATATATATATATATATATATATATATATATATATATATATATATATATATATATATATATATATATATATATATATATATATATATATATATATATATATATATATATATATATATATATATACCGAAAAGAAACTTATATATTGTAGTTGCCTTCTATAAATACCTTAAAGAAACCATATTTCAGAATTGCTTGATACAAGATCTGTCCTACAATGTGTGATACATTAGAAAAATATTGTATATAATATACATTTGTACGTTACAAAATGAAGTCATTTAGAAGTTGTTCATTAGACAGGAAAATAACGAACACAGTTATGATAATGGTTCTACTTTAATTGATATCAGGATAATTTAAGGTTATCAATACTCTACTACAGGTGACAGTATGACTTATAACAACGGATATAGATTTACTACTAAAGATCAGGACAACGACGGGTATAGTGTTGTTAACTGTGCTAAAGCAAATCACGGGGCCTGGTGGTACAACAACTGCGTCTATGCGAATCTGAACGGACGGTACGGACAGTCTTCAGTGTCTGGAAGTCAATACCTAGTATGGTATCATTGGAAAGGATGGAAAGCATTAAAACAGACTGTGATGATGATCACACACAAGAACTAAAATAAGATAATGTATTATGAAATATGATTAAATTATTATTTTTAAAATGATAATAATTCAAACAGTATAAGCAACGTTTGAGTATTTACTTATCTCACTAAATGAAGATTGGTGCAATGGACAGCTACTATCTGTTTCTTTTAATAGAAATTTGTAAAATTATCAGTTCTTCTTAATTTGAGCAATCATAAATAAATAATGCACATGTAAGCATGTTTCTTAAATATTTTTTTTTATTAAAATACAAAGTAATATAAAACATTAAGCACATCTACGTACAAACTTTCTGTATGTAAAATGAACCTCGGAACATAAAATAAAATACACGTATTAAAAGGTAATCAAAATTTTCTTTCTATCTCTAAGCATTTCTACGAATGATTAAATGTAAATGTATTATTTATACACATGTAATATATGAAGAACGCGTAGGACAATTTAACATTTAATTTCATCAGTGTAATAAAGCTTGTCTACAGAGACGTTTTGTGAGTGAAATGATATGGCGGTGCCCATGTCATATCTCATATATGCATTAACAGGAGGGTGCAGTTTTTGAAGCTTTCAAATATTAAGAGAGTGAGAACAACGGGCTTACTAGTATTCTATCTAAAAGTTATCGTGTTACCATTGTTTTCAGATCATTTAAATAAATAGTAAATAACTTGTCCGTTACTTTAACATCAACCTTTGATGCTCCCATTGTCCCCTTTAAGGCAGTTGTGGATAAATCTTGATCGCCATATACAACTTGTATGCATTACAATATGGAATTAAATGCAGTCAAACCATCAAGGTCAGATAATTCACGCCGTGAAACTTCAACAAATCATTTATTGACTTTAGATTAACGTTCAGGCTTTTTGATATCATTGACAGCTGCTTTTTTAATAAAAATAAAACTCGTGAATCTACTCACCTTATCATTTGTTATTTGCAAAATTTTTTTGTTTAAAAAAAAATGCTTGAGTTTCTGATCGACAATATCTATGCGGTTTCTGGAGACCAGGTTTTTTTTAGTAAATTATTGGAATTCCTATGGGAACCAATTGCGCCTCGTTGTTTTCTACTGTTTTCTACGAATGAACAATTTCTATAAAGAGGTAAATTATCAAAATGCAAGATTATGGAATAAGAATATAAGCATCCTTGCTTAAAGTCATCGTTTCGTAAGTTCAATTGTCGATACAATGATCTTGTAAGTAAATATAACTTACTGTAAATCACTTTTTATTCACGAGAACTTTATTTTTGGGTAATTATGCAAAACAGTTTACTCGCAAAAATTTCATTCCTTCATATACTAGGATTCCTTAAAATTATATAGAGAAAAACCATACTTTGTGAAAATTTTGTCTCACTTATAAAGGGTAGATGGCAATCTCACAAAAATAAGGGGTCGCGAATATTAAGTGATCTACCGTATTATTGATTGAAATGCTGACTGACGTTTTTCAAAATAATTGTTAGTCCATTATTTATACACTGAATTGACGACGGATTTTCCCGTTATTTTCCGATCAGGACAAGGAGAACACGGCGGATGTGACTGGTCAGCAGGGGATGCTCACTCCTCAATGGCACCTGATCCCACCTCGGATGTTTTGGAGGTCCGTGTTTGCTCTGCTCCTATTTTGGATCGTTATATGGAATTTTCAGCTTGAATACTGTTTGTGATCTCCTTACATTTCATTCTTTTATGAACTTATTATATTTTAAGGACAGATGATACAAACAAAGTTATGTCAAAAATATGAAAATAACAACTTGAGTCATGTTTAAATGAGAAAAATCAATGAGTTTTACCGCGTATTTTTTAATTTCTTACTCAAAATTTCCCAAAAATCGGATTTGAAGTGAAAATATTTGTATAGATTAATAAGGATGGTTTTATAAGGGCACTCTTTGGAACATCATGGAAGGTTTACAATTTCTATATATTCGAGAAATGTGTTATTTGCATCATTTGCAATGAAATTAAGCCAAAAAATATATACCAATCCAGGCTTCTATTTTTTGTTTATATCATATGTCCTTAACATAATGATTGTACAAATAATTACTGACAGTCTAAGTATATTTACGAGTTTTTATTGAAGATGCAGCTTCATTGCTGTCAAAAACTTCTCGAATTTAATTTATCGTTGGAGATTGTTGTACAAATTGTTGAAGTTTTGAATTTATTGGCTTTGATAAAATTTTGGTATTTCAAGGTATCTAAAAGTTCCTTGGAACAGGCACGTAGCATCGTTTTGGAAAGGGGGAGGGTAGCCAGAGAAGTTTTTTTACCAACCTGTAAAAGTTGACAAACCAAAAAAAAAATGAAATTACCCAAACTCGAAAATCCTTTTTTGGGAGGGGGGGGGGTGGTAGTGACTGACGCCTACTTTCTTGCACTTCCAATTTTGCTACCTACAATACTAAATTTCCATGATATCACTTTACTGTTGTCAGAAGTGGGGGGGAACCAACTTTTCAATAAACATTAGTAAAGGTAATGTTGGGGAAAATAGTGGGAGGGGGCAGGCCCCCCCCCCCCCCCCCCCCCCACTTCCCGGTTGCTACGTGCCTGTGGAGTTTGAATAAAATTTTCCTTGAAGTTTAATTATACACGTCTGATTTACATAACTTCTCTAATAAATTGCTGTACAGAACAAACGAGGCCCAATCTACTTAACATAGTTTTCATGCAGTGTCGTTTCAGACACGTCACAATGCCCTTGATTGCCGTCACAATTGAATACACAAAAACGGCACTGTTAAAATAAGGTCAAATTGCGCTAAAATGTTTCCAGGTATGCAAGATTAACGAATTTGATTGTGCATGTTAAAAGCTTGCTCATTCTGGCATTTCTATTTTAAAAAATTGAAACATTATTTATCTTGAGATATCAGTTTCTAAGTCTAGATTCTTTTATTTTTTAAAGAGTTAAAAAGCACTACAAGCACAAGAAAACAATTTTAGTCTTACTCCTTGAAACATGTTGAAGACCTTACTCATCCTTGTTATTGATGATAAAAAATATTCTGAATGCATTAGCTTGGCTTTTAAAAAAAATTCTATGAATCATTTGAATGCAACCCCTAAAATATTTTTTTATTTATATATTACATGATATTTTTTTTTATCATTAATTCCAAGCTCTCTCATTGTATCAAACTTTATCACATGATTAAGTAGATAACAGCATAAAGACTTGAGTGACTATTTATAGAATCTGAAATGCATATCGATTTGATGTTTAGTAAAGTGGAGATAATTTTCTGTAAAACAAAAAAAGTACTGATTTCATCCAATACAGTGTATGACTAAATGTTTCTGAAAAAATATACTTCATCTTGTATATAAATGTTTTTAATGTTCTGTAAATGATGAGACATAACAATGCCTTGAATTAGGATACTGTATTTGAACATATTGTCAAAAATTGATAAAAAAAATAATCAAATAAATGTAGTATTTTGAATAAGTAAATCATCTAAATTACTCAATCGATTAAGGAAACACAATTACATAACACTGCTTCTTTTACTTATAGTATTTTGATCTCTAGTCTGTAAGTGTTAAAGAGAGGAATCTTGTGCCTTGTTCCCATTATTTTCTAATTGTGTTTTGTCAACCTATGTAAAAAATAATATAACAAATGTATCCCTTTAATTCAGTCAATCCATAGATATATCTACTTCACAGAAAAACATATCGACCTCGCATTTCGTACTCGGTCGATATGCCTTTCTGTGAAGTCGATATATCTATGGATCCACCTTATCAAAGGGCTATTTTTATAAAATATTGGTAAAATTCGTAATTTTGTCTCCTTTTTACATCTGCTTCCCACTTTTCCACTTAAAACAACGTTGTGTGTTATAAAATAAAGGATGGAGAGAAAATTCTTTCAAAACTTAAGAATAACTTAATTTTGAGAAACGAATATTATAGCATTACAACCATTTGTTTATGTTATATAAACCCATTTAGACCACAAAAATATTAATATAAAATCAGTCCTATTTTTGATATGCCCCTTTTTTACTGCAATAAAGGCTACTCCCATTCTCTTTTCATTTTCTAAAAGAGGAAAGGAAATTACCTGTTATATGTGAAAAGCAAAACATTTCACTATTTTTTTTAATTTGTCAATTCCTTAAAGTTTGTTAATTACGTAGTTTTAGAATAATTATGATTGTGCATAAAAACAAGAAGAAGGTTCATATTCAGAAAGTGTCCCAATTTCACTACAATAAAAGCAAGGTAACATAATTTCATTCTGATTTTTCTTAGCATAAAACAAACAAATATATAACCGAGAATTGAATTTTTTCATCAATCCGTTTTCGTAATTTCCAACTAGATTTGGCCTCGTTAAAAGTTTAAAGTTGTAAATATTTTAAGGAGGAGGAAAGAAACATTTGCCGGAACCCACTATATATCTTTCTTTGTAAGGGATTTTATGTTTAGGAATCCACCATATGTTTGGTAATTTAAAATCATTTTGATTGTTGAGAATATTAAAATAATTTAAAACTGAATAATGTT